GGAATCGAGAAGACCCAAACAAATGACCTCAATTGGTGTCATCATTGTAAATGCAATGGCTGGGGTGTCGTGATCAAATGCCCTGTCAAATGTACCTTTGCTGTGAATGTATTAAACTGTTTCTACGGATGCCATATTGAGTGTCGCCTTTGACTTTTTTGGTAGGGTTTCACTAGAGCTCTGGTTCTTTTTTGAATGATTCGTTTACTTGACCTCATTACCACTGGTGACTCGTCAAATATGCGCAAATAGATCATCTTGAATTCATTTAATGGGAAGTGTTGAGTCCGACCCTCAATATTGGAATCTTCGGCTTCACAACTGTTTGACTGAATGTTATTGCGCTAGCCTAATTCGGAACCTCGGCCTTTTAGTTGCTGTGCTTCGAATTTTCCCTACATGTCGTTCGTTGCGTCATTAGAGGATTGGTTTAGATGAGCTTTGATTCCTTACAACAGGTTATTTTGCGCCACCTCATGAAGCTTGTCTTCAGTATTTCGTGCTTGAAGGTTACAGTTCAAGCACTAATGACGAGGAATTGTAGAGACTTTAATGAAAGTGATGCCATTACTATCCATTGAAAGCTCTCCTACGATTCATTCTTGAATTGCATTTTGAAAACTGACGGAGGAGTTGATGAATGCTCGATATATTTACAACATATGAAAGCTGGTCTGCTGTTCTTGAGGCGGAATTATGGTGATTGTAGTGATGCCATCGAAATGGCGTGCTCAGTCCCCTTTTGGCTGTAGGCGGTCTTTTTTAATCCATCCTTTAAATTAGTGGCAGTGCCGCCGACATGCCTCCGCTTCAGGTTTGGACACAGATGCTCAGTTTGTTTCCCCTTCCCTGACCCACGCCCCAACCCCTTGGTCGCCATATCAACTGATCTTATTGCGGATCCTTGTGACGTCCAAATCGATGCATACGATGCATTTGCGGTGCACTAGTCATTTCTTCATTCTTCATGTCAGGCGGGGGTGAATGATTGCGAGGTGGCTACAAAAAGTGAGGAGAGTCTTCTAGAATCTACCTCGGGAAGAGATGCAGGTCTTTTCCCGCCTCGCAACCAGTCATCTGCAAATCTCACAGCTAGCTTACTTTGGTGACATCTCCTGCAAGGCTTTGCAATCGGGCGAATGGTAAGTGTTACTTTTCTGTTGGTCTGTTTATGTGTTGTCATCTAGATGCTTATATATTTCCCTGAATATTCATTTATATCTGTGCGTTTATTTGCCTCTAGGCGTTTATTCGTCTCCCGTCTATTTCCTACCTCCGCCTTCCACCTGCCTGACACGTGTGAGCAGGCAAATGCTAGATGGTGGAGTGAGGAGGCCTGATGACAGGCTTAGATGAAAATGAGCGCTGGAGAGGAAATGAGCTAGTGAACTGAAATTCTGGACGCCTAATGGGTGTAGTGGTGGAAAGTAGATAGCTGGTAAGGAACTGAAGCAGATGTGTATAAAACTGCGATATTTGGGGGTGAAACTCGGTAATAGGAGAGAAATAGGGGCTGTTTTGTGGAGAATTGGGATCTAGGACGATGATAGTTGGGAATGTGGTTTGAAACTGAGGTACGCAGTTGGATAATTGGGCTTTGGCTTGATGAGAATTGGAAAACTGGAAGAAAATGGGGAAGGTGATTAGGGAATTGGCGGGTGTCCACAGTAACTAGACATTTGGAGAGGGAATGAGGCAGTCAGAGAAATATGTTCTAGGGTAATGGGAACTAGATAACTAGGAGTAATTGAGGTAGAGATGAAAGTTCCAGGTCGAGCTATAAACGAAAGAACGGAGGTAGATTGGGAGAGGTTTTGATTCTGGAGTGATCTGAAATAGATATTTGGAGGGTAATTGGGGTAGATAGATGAATAAACAGGATCTAAGGCGTAGAGTAAGAAGCAAAGAAGGGCTGAGGCGGATAGGTAGAGGTAGATAGTGTAGTGTTTGGAAGGATGGAATTGGGGTAAGTAGGTAAAAAGGTTAGAGGAACTTCTTATTCGGAGAGAAGTTAAGGTGAGCATGCTTGGCCAAGGTCCCCGGACTGATCGGAACTAGAAATTAAAATGGAACTGAGGCTGGTACGTTGATAATTAGGTTTGTAAGTGGTGAACAATGAGTGACCAGAATGGGTCAGAGTGGATGTATATAGAATTACGTTCTGGAGTGATGAGCTCTAGATACTTGGAAAGGAACTGAGTCAGATAGGAAGCAGGGTTCTAAAGTGATGCGAACTAGGTAACCGGAGCGAATTTGGTTAGATATGTAGAGGGTTTAGTTCAGGCTT